GAAAGAAATAAAATATTTTTCCCACACTGCTTAGAGATATATAAATTATTGCTATTACTGTAAAATCATAATAAATATATTATTCATAATTTTAATACTATATATAATTATTATACATTATAATTGTCATATTATCGTGAATTAACAATAATAAAAAAATACACACACACACACACACACACACACACACACACACATTTTACTACATTTTAATATTTTAAACAAAAAAAAAAACCTATGAAACTATGTATGTATATATATATATATATATATAAAGTATGTCTATAAATTAGTGACCATATATAAATGAGTTTGTTGTTGTAACGGACGCTTACAAAAAATGACCATATTTGTCAATTTTTGTTTAAATTATTAAATCGTACTAATATGTAATCACATTCTATATAATTTTTTCTATAGTTTTAAATTTGATATCATTTTCATAAGTAAAGCTGTCTGTGGTTCTGCAGAGGCATGTTGTTTTCCTCTCTCTCCCAGCAGATGTCCCTGTCAGGCAGAGCAGTGGAATCCACCTCAAAGCTCTCTGCCAAGGAACACATTTCCCATGACCACTCTTAAAAACCCATTTAGAGAGGCATAATAGCCAGCGTGAGCGCCTGACATCACGTTCAGTCTCCGTCTGCAGAGAAACAGGAAACTTCTGCCTTCTATTCTCTAGATAACATCAATTAGAGATTTTCTGCTTGGTTATGGGACATTGAGAGATATTAGCTATATCAGTATGGATATTTGAAGGGTCATAGGGACAAAATATATAATTATGTAACTTATAAACACAGCTATAGAATTTTTGTCTATTGGAAACTTGTTCTCCAGCAGTCTTTCCCAACAAAAATGTCTTCTATCCAAAGGAAGGAAAGGAAAAAGAGTGTTTTCCCGACATCTCCCAGAGTACGTGTCCTTATCCATCACCTGCTGTGCGACAAAATGAAATGGGGCGATACGGCTCACCTCAACCTAAAAACATACCTGCAGACCAGCCAAGCAATGCCTAATAGACCCCATCTTACACTGCATCACTCCCAGACCAGCCTAAACTTATAATCAAGGACTACGACAACAACAACCGCTGGTGGATGGCTTTTCTACTGGCCTGTAATGGGAAAATGCACTCTGTCTGAATGGGTTACACCAACACCTGTGCTGAGATCAGCAGGAGTCCATTACCGGCCACCACAGCCCATTTACAGCCAATCGCCACATTTTGGTCAATCTTTACCAGCAACTGGTAGCCCATCAACGGCAGACGTTAGGAGAAATAGGTCTTTCGTCCGAACACATGTGCCTATCTCCTCCAGACAGGTGTTGTCTGTGAACTTCCAATATAAAGGAGTTATCTTTGATCAAAAAAATAAAAAACAAATTTTTTGCCCTTGTCACAGGAGGCAAGGTGACATCTGATGTTTTGGGAAGGGAAAAGATTCGTGGCTGTAACAGATCCACTTTTTTCTTGCTGAACAGCTAGCTTTCTTTTACTAAACAACTGCTGACATGCAAACTCGATAATAAATAAGATGATAAAAGACACAAAAAAAGTTCTATTTAATATTAATATTAATGATAAGAATGAACATTTCTTCCATCATATAATAGAGTTCATTAGCCGAAGTATGAGCTGAGGATGAATCAAAGTTGGGGTCGGGTTAGGTGATGTCTGATATGACCTCAGCAGATGCTCTCGAACCTTGTGTTGAGGATTTTCTGAGTGAAAGCTGCTATGGTTGACTGAACTCTGTCTCTCCTGTCAGAAACTGCATTTATCTCCTCACAAGCACTCTCCCATATGACCGAGAGACACATACAGAGAGAATGAGAGGTCCCATATCAGGAAAAAATTAAGAAAAGTAAAAATATTTAATAAAAAAATAAATAAAAATGTACGAATGTTAAAAATATTATAATATATACTAATATTTTCCTTTAACAAGTTATATTAAAATTAATAAAAAAGATTATGGTATTAATGGAAAATAGTAGTATATATTATATTTT